TGTGAAAATAACTGGATAGCCTCAAAACAAGCATTGCACTATGTATCCCTTTTGAAAGAGCTCAGGAGAGTTTATTTGTAAGAGATGGGCTGTATAAAAAGGCTGAAATATCTCTTCACCTCTGTAATGCATGAGTATATTAAAAACATGCTTTTCTCTCCCAGATTTCCCTGTCAGAGAGATTTGTACACACCTGGCACAAAGACTGTCTCGCCTGGTTTCTGTAAGACTTCCAGGGGTTTGAATTCGGGGGGCCAGGTGGGAAGCTGTGTCCGAGGATAGATGACGTTGAACCAAGTGATTGCCTCATCCTGCTGGTTCCCTCCCTCTTCTCGAGTCACTTTGATGAGCTCTCTGGGAGTGCTGGTTGGGAACAGGCACCAACGCTTATGTCCCTGGACTAAGGCATTCCACGCACTAGTTCCCAAGGGATCGATGTGAATTCCTGTTCCAGATCGAGGTGGGCCCATCACAAACCATCTGCATGGGAATAAAAAAAAGTCCTTTAGTCACAGAGCAAGCAAGTAGCTCCCTTCCTTCAAATGAGACAGTTAGAAATCAAAATAGTTACAATTCTTTCATTTACATTCCTGATTTTGTTAGATTCACACTACAACAAAAAGATACAACGGGAATTTAACCTAAAAACCAACATGAATGACTGCAGGATAAGAAAGTGAAGGTAACTTTTTATATTTCATAGCTGCATTTTGGTTTAAATATTCCTTCAGTACAATATATAGTGATTTCAAGGTTAATGAATGCTGTTAGGTCACAACAGCCTGTGTTAGGATTTAGGCAGGGGGATTCTCCTACAGTTTTCTAAAATTTGCTGCTCAAGCAGATCCAGAACTGCAGAACAATGAGGAACAAACAAAAGGCAACACAAGGAACAGAACAAGTTACGCAACCCTGGCCTCTTTCTGCGCCTTCTGGTCACAACAGGCTTTTCATTCCAACATTTGACTACGTGGAGTTTGTTCCCCAGTCACCATTCAGGATTTGTGGTGTATATTCCCATTTCCCACTTTTAAGGTTTATTTCTCCAACAGAGAACTTTATCTACTCTATCTGTTCAACTGCAGCAGCACCTTCAACTGCTCATTTCCCCTTAACGGAGCAGTAAGATCTACTCTAGAAAAAGCAGTGTGAGGTGACTTAACATCAGGCATCAAAAGGGAAAAATGGCAATAAATGCTTGATTGGTAGCAGGAAGTATCGAAATTAGAGCAACAACAAGATCCCTCCATGGTGTGGCTGACAGGCAGGTGATGCCCAGCAACAGGAATGCAGAGGTTGAGAAAATATTGGAATTCAGCAAGTTCTCCATCTCCCCTTTCCAGTGCAGGTGTAAATCAAGCTGGTCATCAAGTACCATTTGCCAGCACCAATTGTAGAACTGTTTGATTATCAGGCTGCTTTCTTCCTTCTTCACAAAGGAGCTGTAAATAAGCAGGTGTTCATAATTTCTATTGTCACTTCATTCTTCAGATTCCTATTAGCCTTGGAAAGCTGGTTAAACCACAAGCAGAACAGTCAAGGCTTTCACTAAGAAGACAGAAAACATTAAACTCCTGGAGATCTGACTGGCACGGACAGATGCACTGCTCAATAACCATTTTTCTGACAATAACCTGAATCTACACATGCAGGTTTTAAAACCCTTATTTAGCAACACTGTCATTTACCAGCATCTTCCTCCAGGCAATTAACTTACAATGAACAAAACCCAATTTGCCCCAAGAAATCAAATTTACCATTAAAAACTTCTTGTCTCCTAAACTCAAACTGAAAGCAAACCCCAACCCCCCTTCCCAAACTAAACGAGCTGCTTCAGCCAATGGCTTCCAAAAATTACTGTCTTTATCTTAGAGAGGAACAACACCAATAAAAATGCTCTGAACAGCACCAATTCTTACTTTAAGGTCTACACACTATCATACACCTCTCAATTCAGAGGCCAACCTGTACAGGTCATATCCTCATCATATGATTTGTACCATTTCCTGTCAGATTTTCAATTATACTCTGAAAGTCCTGGACACTCTTCATCCATTTCTGTACCCAGATGAACCCTCTAATTCCAGGAGGCATCAGTGTGCTCTCTTGTGCCCCACTCATCTCTCAAAAAAACGTTAACAGCCTGAAACAAACCCACATTTTCCTGAACAAAGTACAAGAAATGTGAATACCAAGATCACAAAGAGGCTCAGCATGTGCATGTAGGTGGGGAGGGTGTGGGGGAGAGAGACACCAATATAAATGAGTCACAACCAGATTATCTTATTTACCTGTAACTTGGATAAATGATTCCCAGCTCTGTAAGTGTATTCAGTTTCTACTACAGAATACTGTGCTTTTGTGTTCAATCACAGTAGTACGTTCTTAGAAGAGCTTTATAAAAAGCATCTGCTACAACACTATAAAAACGCCCACTTCAGTGATCTTAAATGGAATTAAGCTCCTGCTTCACTCCTGCAAAAGCACAACTGGACTACAGACACGTGAGAGAGTGCAGAGGGAAGTATCATTATTCATGACTTGTTTTGTTTTATTTAAATAAACCACATCAGAGCCTCATGTCACTCAGAGGGCAAAAGGCATTGTCTGACAATTATAATGTTGCTGTAAAGACTTTAATTACTTGGGAGGGTTCAGCTCAGGCTCATACTGCTATGAAGTGTTGCATCAACATAGAGAGAAATGGCTTTTATATCTGACAGCAAAAATACAAGGTTGTTGCATCTGAATTCATGAATGAAGAGTTGTTTCAATCCTTTTCCAATCTGAAGAAAAAATAGAGTTGAAAAGACTACACGGATGTAAAATATTGTTCTCTCTCAAAATCATCTGAAGGAAAGCTAAGAACTACTCCCTACACCAGATCCTAATCTAGTTTAAGATCTTTACCTTAAAAGGACTGACTCATAATTAAACAAAACTCCACACTGTACATAAGCCACTGGTGCAAAACCCAGGAGCCAGTCCTGAGGTACTTAAAATTTGAGAGCCAGAAGGCACATAGAGCAAGAAATCAATCTTCATATCTTTCATGTAAATTTTAAAAAATCTAAGAAGTGATGTAAATTGACTTAACAAAAAAAAAAGGAAAAAACCACCATAAACTTGTAGCAGCTCTGGTGGGAGAAGGAGAATTTGTTACACACAAATCTTCTCTTCCTCTGAATTACAGATGTACACTCTTATTTTAAGAGACAAATTAAAGCTGCACTTTTTTTTTTTAATGTGAGACAATCAGAGCTATTCAGGAATAGCCAAGGAGGTGAGAAATACCCCTTTTTGTATTGCTGTCCCTGCACTGTACCTGTAGGGTGGCCGCCGTTTCTCCCCTGCATACTGAAAGAGATCATCCGTGAAGAATTTGGGTACTTTGTAGTCCTCCAGGAGTTTCCTGCGCTTGGGGTGCTCCCCATAACTGCTGTCAAAGATGTACAGGGGGCTGTCATCACGTGTGGTTTCCATATATTCTATGTAGTACTTCATCTTCATCTTCACAGAGTAACCGTCATTGTCCTCCCCACACTTGAACTTCTGGTTCCTGTACTTGCGTTTCAGCCGCTCCAGCGTCCACTTCTCCTGGGCAGACCAGCCCACCTGGGCGTTCAGCAACACCACGGGCTTGTAAGGCTTTTCATAGCGCTCAACAAACTCCTCCACCGTCAGCTGGAGCGCATCTGCCCTCTCCACGTTATCCTGTGAGACCGGGGAGGGAAGCAGAACAGATATTGGGACAGGCTGACGTCCTAGGACCGCGCTTCCCAGTGGGGGAGCTTCACACACCGCGAGGGGACGGAGCTGCCTACGTGTTATTTTAAGCTCCCCGAGGCTGCAGCCCTGTTCCTCCTGGCCCGCTCCCCGCACACACCGGTGACACGGGCAGCCTGAAGCCTTTGGCACTGCTCCCCATCGAGGCCACGCTGCCCTTTCGGCTGACACATCCACTGCTGCATTCCACCCCCTGAGGACCCAGAGGAGGACTCCAGGGAATTACACGGGTGCCCATCCCACCCCGGCGGGCCCGCACCTCTCCGCACCCCTCGCCACGTGGAGGGAGGAAAAAACGCGGGTGCTGCTTGTCCTCCCCCTCCCGAACCTCTCCCTCACAGCGGAGAGCCCCGCCAGCTCCAGGGCAACCCCGGCCTCGGAAAAGGGCCCCTTCCCTTCAGACTCTCCCTTCAGGCAACTCCAACCCCTTCATCCCCTCCTCCCCTCTGACCCTCGTTCTTTTCAGGCCACCCAGTCTCCCCTCAGGAGGGTCATTTCCCCTTCCCGTTCCCTTAGGACCTCCTTATTCCCCTCAGGACTTCCTCCAATTCCCTCACTCATGTCCCCCCCCCCAAGTCTCTTAGGCCCCCTCCGTTCCCTTCAGGACTCCTCCAGTCGCACTCCCCTTCCCATTCTCCCCCATCCTATTCCCACCGCTCTCTCTCCCCTCAGACCTTGCAGGCGGCGGGGTTCAGGGGGAAGGTCTCGCAGTAGTTGTGGCGGGTCCAGTCCAGCGAGTCCTTCAGCTCGGGGCGGGCGCTGCGCTTCGCCTCGCGGATCCGCTTCTTGCTCTTGTGGTTCATGACGACGACGGCGGCGGCGGTGCTGGGGGCCGTCACCGCCCGCCGTCACCTTCCCCGGATCCCGATCCCGGTGCCGGCCCCGCTCCGGCCGCACCTTCCAGAAATTTCACCCGGTGCCGCCGCTGTGACCGCGGCCCCGCCCCCACCGCTCTCCCATTGGCTGGTTGTGCCGCGATTTCCGCCACGCCCCGGCGTTGATTGGCCGGGGCAGCGGCGCCCCCGCGCCGCCATGTTGAGGAAGGGCAGCGCGGAGGGAGCGCGGGCGCCCTTGGCAGCCCCGGGGATCCCCCGCCGCCGCCGCTCCCCGTGCCGCGGCGGGCCCGCGCTCCGCGCTTGCTGCTCTGCTGACAGCGGCGGGCCGGCCGCGCATCACCCGGCTTCCTCCGCTCTCCCGGCCCCGGCCCGCGGAGGCGCCCGCAGCGTCCCGGCGGGGCGGCGGCGCGGGCGGGCGCGGCCCGGTGTGCCAGCGATGCCCGGGGCAGGCGCCGCCATCGGCGCCCGCAGCGGCGCTCCGCGTGACGTCACGGCGAAAGGAGGCGCCGATTGGCCGGCGCGGCCCGGCGCCCTCACGCGTCCGCCCGCCATTGGTTTCATGGCGGAGCCGCGGCGGCGCGCGCGGCGGTACCGCTTCGAGGAGGGTCCGGCGGCGCTGGTCGTGCGTGTGCCCGAGGTACCGGGGACAGCCGGGGCACGCCGGGAATGCCGGAGATTCCCGGGAATAGCGAGGATACCTGGGAACACCGGCCCAGCGCCCCGCCCTGTGTGTTGCAGGTGCTGGACTCGCAGTACGGGCTGTACGCGTGGCCCAGCGCCGTGGTCCTGGCGCAGTACGTGTGGGCGCAGCGGCGGAGCCTGCCCGGCAGGCGAGTGCTGGAGGTACGGCCCTGCCCGCACCCCTGACACCTCGCGGGTGCCCGCGGGCCCGACCCCACGGACGCGCTGTGGTTGCAGATCGGAGCCGGTGTGAGCCTGCCGGGCGTGGTGGCCGCCCGGTGCGGCGCGCAGGTGACCCTGTCGGACAGCGAGGAGCTGCCCCGCTGCCTGCAGAGCTGCCGCCGCAGCTGCCTCAGCAACCGCCTGCCAGACGTGCCCGTCGTCGGGCTCACCTGGGGCCGCGTCTCGCCAGAGCTCCTCTCTCTTGCTCCTGTAGACATTATTTTAGGCTCAGATGTCTTTTTTGACCCCAAAGGTATGTTAATGCTCTCTCAGGTATCTTTGGTTTGTGACAAGCAGCGAGGAGATGGTGGCCAAGTAATGCTGGGATCAGTGTGGAGGGATCAGGTGACACTGTGCTACTGACCTTGTTATTCTAGTCTGAGCTGTCAGAAATACAACCGAGGGGGAATAGAAAATGAAGTAATAACTAAGTGCTTCAGACCCTGTATCTCACTTCTCTCATAGAGATGTAATCTGCCTATTTAGATTTTTAATTCCCATTTCATAGAACCAGACAGATTTCTCTATACCTGGAATCCGGAGACTAACCCAGACTGCTTTATCTCCCCAAACTGCGCAGACTTTGAAGATATTTTAACTACAATTTACTTCTTGCTGGAGAAGAATCCACATGCTCAGTTCTGGACTACTTATCAAGTCCGAAGGTAAAATCTTTTCCATATTTAGGACTCAAACCTTAATTCCTGTCTCAGCTTTTGACGAGTGTTAACTTCTCAGAGGCACCACTGCTCTGACTCAGAAAAGCTCCTTACTGTGCATGAGGCTGCTATTAGCCCAGTAAATCCTGGGGGTAGCAGGCAAAAGCAGCCAAACCTGAAGGTAATCCAAGAACCCTCAATTTGCTGTTGCCTAGAAAACTCTTACAAACCCATCTGTGCTGTACTGAAGTTTGGTAACAGCCTGTTAGTTACTGCAGCAGTTGTAACTTTGGGTTATATTTTCACATGCTTTATATCCTCCCCTCAGTGCTGACTGGTCTATCGAGGCTCTGCTCTGCAAGTGGAACCTGAGGAGCATCCACATTCCCCTACACTCCTTTGGTGCAGACAAGGAGCACTTGGCCAGCTCGTCTCTCCCAGGAAGGCACACAATCGAAATGATGATCATCTCACTGGCACAGTCAGAGGGCACTTCAGTTTATTCCACTTTAGGTTCCAGTACAAGGTGATACTCAGCTGTTCTGATCTGCAGAAAACAGTCCTGTTTACAGCAAACCTCGTGTATATTTCTGGGAAGCAGTTAATTCTTAAAACATGCATTGTAAAAATAAAGCTGTTTGGTTTTTTTCCAGCTATGGCTTATGAGAAATTTGTGCTCTTCCCCAAAGCCCATGAAATAGTTCAGAGACTCAATTCCATGGTGTCAAGCCACTACACAACACAGCTTGACCTGGAAATCCGTAAGATCCAACCTAAATCCACAACTTCAGCAATGGAAAGGTAACTGCACTCTTTCAGATTAAAAAATAGCCCCATAAGATCAGTTTCCCAGGACTGGGAATCCTGGGATCCATATACAAAAGCCAGCCCCCTTGTTTGTAAATGAGCGTGTGTAGACTGTGCTAACCTGGAACATACAAACTCCCCAGTTTGTAGAAAAGTACTTTTAATCCTCAACAAAAGCCATACTGCCAGTGTTCAGATGTTTCCATTCCCATTTAACATACATGCGTAAAATTAACAAGGCATTACAATAACCCTTGACACAGGATGGTTGAAGTTACAATTCATTTGTACCAAATCAAGAAAAATCATCACTGTAAGATCAGCCCCCATCAAGCAGCAGCCTGGGCAAGCACACAGCAATGCAATTAGTACTGCTCAGTGTGGACCTTCCACAACACCCCAGGACCTGGCTGGGTCAGTGTTCACAGCCTGGTTGTGCAACACTTGCCACACAACATTGGGTTAGTCACAATACTAATTGAGTTTGCCCACAGTAATTTAAAAGCAACCCCGGTGGATAAAATTTATAAGCAGTAGAATGCGTTCAGTTACTATATAGAAGTTAAACATAGACAGTATAATTGCAGAAATCTTTTCAAGCTAAAAATAAGCTGACCCAAGACATTAAGTTGAGAAAAGTTAACACAGAAAAATGTTTAATATTAACTACAGAGACAGTGGGTATAGTACAGAATGTCTTAAGCAAAAGATACACCAATCAGTACTTACAAAGGAATGAACCATTTCTGTTCTTAACATTACATTTCTCATATGCAAGTTCATATATGTAGGTTGGTAAGTTTTACCATTCTGGAAATAATAAGGTGTGTATATCATCAGCTAGATGTGCTCACTGTATGCTCCATATTTTTTACGCAAGGCCCGGGTGACTGGAAGTGCAGTTGTCAGGCATTTTAATTAACTGGACAGCCATTTGTTTCTGCACGACAAGGCATCGTTACACAGGAGCAATCAGGAGACAACAGGAAACAGCCAAGCACTCTGCACTGCAACACGCCACCTTAACAGCTAACCAGCATTACTCAACTGCTACACAACTGCGCCTAGTGCACAAAAATACATAAGAGAAGAGATTAGAATTGAGTCTGATAAAACAATCCTTTCAAATATCAACTGTCACCTGAAAAGATTTCTACCAATTTTGAATTTGAAGATGCTATTTTAATGCAAAGTTGTTTTTTCTTTGAGAAAAAAAAGCATTTACAGTTAAGTTTCAAATTGAAGTTCCTGTAGAATTTTAAGGAATGAAAACAAAATTAAGAATACTTTCTGACAGTTAGCTACTCGGCATATAATGGCTGCATGATTCCTCAGTATGAAACTGGAGGCAGCAAGTTACCATCAGTTTTAATTTCCAATAGAAGTCAGCACTATATAAACAAAAATGAAGTTTTACCTCAAATATCCAAGCCAATAATGAAATCGGTAGTCGTTCACTTCACTAAATTACAAGAAATTTGAATAACAGCAACAAAATGGCACATAAAAATGTAAAATCTGCCACTTGAGGCGCAACTTAAACAAGTAAAAAGTTAGACAAAATGTTACAAAATAACCTTTTCAACAGCTGGTTGCTCGGCCAGGGTCTCTCCAATGGGCTGAAGACTCAAGCGATCTTTTCCCCCCAAAGGCGTCCTTTATGTGGGTTCTCATTTAGCTGAAGCATCTAGGTTTGAAGAAAAAAAAGTTCAGCCAGGTTTCTACCTTGTCTGTTTTGGGTGTGGATGACTTCAGGGATACTTCTAGTTGTGTTTCAACTGGCTTTGCCTAAGTTAATTAAGTTTTAGGAATTTCCACAGTGTTCCACCTCCCCCCCCTTGTGTCGCTTTACTTCAGAGGCCAAATGTAAGGTTCTGTCAGAGTATTTAGTTACAAAGGAGAACAAGCACCAGGCTGTAGATCAAGCCACCATTAACTTCAATTCAGCCTGTTCAACAATCGATTATTAAAAGCTATATAAAAGTTAACAAAGCTAATACTTCTTCATGAAGACTTAACTAAACTCTAAGTAGCATTCAAAACAGAAAACGTGACTAGTTTTGCTACAATTATCTAACTCCAGAGCTAGCTTAGGCCCTTTCCTTTTAAAAAACAGGACCAAACAGTTTGAAGGGTTAAAGACACACTATCCTTTCCCCACCCGGTGTATCCTTAGATGCCTCTTCCAAGATGTCGACTTGAGGAAAAACTAGTTTCCGTGGTTTTCTTGTTGCCAAGGAATTTGCCCCTTTTCTAGGACACTTATTACCTCCAGTCAGTACAACGGCCACTGAACCGATCTTCCGTTCTAAAAGGATAGTGTATCTTTAACAGTGTAAGACAAACCTGCTCCAACACACGCCCACAGAAACTGGTCCCTGGAGGATCAGCCAAATCAGTTAAAATCTGCAATACTGGCCAATATTCTTTTAGCAAACAGGAGACCGCAGCTTTAAAGGGGAAAATGCAGATGTTGGATAAATACAGTAAGAAATAGTCATTTGCATCATAGGTTGCGTCTCATACAATATTTTAATAAAACCAAGGCATTAATCTCGCAATAAAACATTTTCTCTGTAGAAAAAAAAAAATTTCTGTAGAAAACCCTTCAGTAATAACTTCCCTAAACCAATAACCAAAAAGCACTGCTCAGGAAAAAAAAAACCAAAACCAACAACTAACAGTGTGCCCCGTTAGGATTCACTTGGTTCAGGCTATTAATGCTCTAAGAACTACCCAACACCCCACCTAAGTGCTCTAATAAAGTAACATGCAACATGTGCCAATCCCGAGGTACATTACCATGTTCCTAGGAGGATACAGCTCCCTCTTCTTCCGGAGACTTGGGAGGGCTCTTAGACCTGGATCTAGAGTTGGATTCCCTCTTTGAAGCAGGGGGAGGGCTTCTAGATCTGGACCGGGATCTTGACCTGGACCGAGATCTGGAGACAGACGAGGACTTTGACTTGGATCTCCTGGCAGACCTGGACTTGGAGGTGGAACGAGACCGAGAGCGTGTACGAGACCGGGATTTGGATCGGCTGTAGCGGGACCGACTGCGGGATCTAGAACGGCTCCTGCTTCTAGATCGGCTGCGACGGCGTCTTCTAGGGCTAAACCAGGAAGGGGGGGGGGGAAAGACGCGTTAGAAGTTGCTCACGGGCGGCGCAGAATCCAGTGAGTGCCGCGGGACAGGGAGGGCGGGACAGGACGCACGTGGGCAAGAAAACGAGCGTTACGAGGGCGCCATTGTTCAGAGCGAGTGGCCGGGGGCTAAATTTACTACAGGGCAAAAACCTTCCACTCCGAGGGGACCACACGTGCCTTCGCTACTAAGCCCCTACTCCCCCGCCCAACCCCGCCGGGAAATTCATTGGGAAAAGGCTACAGAATCACAGAAGCGGTCAGGTTGGCAGGGACCGCAGAGGGTCATCTGGTCTACACCCCCTGCTTAAGCAGGGTCATCCCAGAGCACATGATTATGTCGTGTACTCAGCTGCCCGAGTATCCCCAATGCGGGAGACTCCACCACCTCTCTAGGCAACCAATACACAACCACGCGGCCCCTGGTACGCCCGCCGGGACCTAAGCCTCATCCCCCCATCTACTGCCGTAAGTTCGGTGCTCACCTGCGGCTGCGGCGGCCGTAGCCGCTGCTGCTGTACCGGCGGGGCGGCGGCCCGCGGCGGCTGTGGTGTGAGTCGGGCGGGCGGCCGTACCGGGCCATCTGCACGCGGAGCTCCCGCCCGTCCAGCACCGCCCCGTCCATCGCGTCCATCGCGTCCTCCGCGTCCCGCTTGTCGTGGAAGCGCACGAAGGCGAAGCCGCGGCTCTCCTTGGTGTAGCGGTCCCGCGGGATGTAGACGTCGCCCACCCGGCCGTACTTCTCGAAGACCCTCCGCAGGGTGTCCGGAGAGGTGCGGTAGGTCAGGTTGTCCACCTTGAGGGACGTCATGCCCTCCACGTCGGGCGGCGGGCGGCCGTAACTCATGGCGGGCTGGAGCCCCTGAGGGGCGGCGGCGGCCGACGAGAATAAACCTGAGGGCGATGAGGGGGGTCAGCAGCCGGCGCGGCCCTGAGAGCGACGCGCCTCACGCCGCGGGGCGAGCGCCGAGGCGGCGGCGCGGCAGAGCCCAGAAACGAGGAGAATCGCAGCGCATAGGGAAAAGCCCGCGGGGCCCGCAAGGAGCAGCACCAACCTCAGGGTCCGAGGGGCGGCCCGAGGCCGGAGGGAAGCGCCAGGAGCGGCCGCCCCGTCCCGTCCGCCGCGGCGAGGAAATGAGGGGGAACCGCCCGCGCGCGCGGCTTAACGCCACAAAATGGCCGGCGGGACCCCGGAAGGGAAACGCGGAGCCGCCCCGCCCGCGGCACCGTCGCCCCGACCCCAGAGCCCTTTTTACCCCTTTTCCCCGAGGTGGTCCCGCGGAGAGCGCGGGGAATCCGCCCTTAAATTAACAATTCGCTCCTGCGTTGGAAAGCGGCCGTTAAAACGGGCACCGCTGTGACCCGGAAGAGCTCGGGGGAGGCGGGGAATTTTTTTTTGAACAATGTGTGTTGAAAACCGTAAGAAAAACAATAATAAAAAAAAAAGGAAATAAGAGCAGGGCTGTGCGCGTGTGGTGAGGGGGCAGAGAGGTGGGAAACCGCCGCAACGGGAAAAAAAAAAGCGATGGTGAAGGGAGTCGGTTGTGGCGCGGGCGGGAGGGGACGGTTTAAAATGGCGGACGGGGAGAGCTGTGAGGGCAGACTGATGAGGGGCGACGGCGGGTCGGGGCTCGGCTTCATGACAGGAGTCGGTTCAGGGCGCTTGTCCGGCGCTCTGTGAGGGCAGTTTTCCCGGGACAGCAGCTGTGGGAGCTCCGTGCCCTTCCTGCTCCCGCTCCGCTGTGCTCCGGTGGCCGCCGTGAGGGACCGGGCGGCCCGGTGCGAGCTCTCCGCGGGCTCTTCTTCACCTCCTGCGGGCAGCGGTGCCCGGTGAAGCCTCCTCGGTCCCTCCAGCTCTCGATGTGCCTCGATGGATACGCAGCTTATCGGTGCCTGTGGGAGCGAGCGAGGAAACATTAAAATCCTCCGTACCCCAGCCTGCTCTGCAAACTCGTGCTGTGGCAGCATGTGCTGGAATTGGAGCAAAGGAGAAGACTTGCACACCCCTTGTGTAAGGATGACAAGCAGGTCCCCAGAGTTTTGCCCGGGGAATTCTGTGAAAGCTGTTCCCCTGCCTCAAAAGTTGTTGCTATGTCACTTCAGGCACTGAATAAAATACCCAAATCCCATGTATGAACTGTAATACCTAGTTCTCATCGCACAACAGTGTTAAAAGTTTCTAGCCTTCTGTTTCATGATACTATGTTAAAAAAAGAGTAAAGAAACGACCGTTTCCTTCTGATTTGTTCAGTCACAGTATTGATATGAGAAAGCAATTTCAGTATTAGAATTTAAAGTCTTAGTCTTACTGTAACTGTGTTTAATCTTTTTTTGCACTGAAGAAGTATAAAAGTAAGCAGTGACATTGATAAAAAAACAGAAACAGCTGTTTGTTTCCTGCTCAAATGACTTAAGAAATCAAATAAATTAGTTTTAGTTTCACATTTTGTATTGCTTCATGCTTGTCCCCTTTTTTCCCCCAGAGACTTCTGCTTAAAAACCTTGTGATTCATCTGCTGAAACCCTTTTTCAAATGAGAAATTTGAAATTTACCTTTACAGTAATTGCCTTATAATGACAGCGGAAGTTTCCTGTGTCCCTTTCTCCAAGTTCTTGTACCCCCTCGGCACTGCTGAGGCAGGGACAGCTCGCTGTCCACCAGGACCCCCCACTCCATCTCCACAGAGCTGCTTTTCCAGCCGGTCAGCCCCGGCCTGTGCTGGAGTCTGGGGTTATTCCTTCCCAGGTGCAGGACCCTGCACTTGCCTTTGTTGAACTTCAGACAGTTCTTCTCTGCCCACCTATCCCACCTGTCAAGGCGTCCCCTTTCAAATTTTCAAGTTTAAAGCTCTCCCAATGAGCCCTGCTAACTCCTGGGCTAAGATCCCTTTTCCCTTTCGAGACCCCTGTTTGTTTAAACCTTTTACTGCAGACAGCAGAGGTAAAATGTGGTGATTTGTCATTTGCTTCAGTCAATTCTGCGTTTCCCTCCCTGTCTTTTTGGCCAGCACTAAAGTGGAGCTGATTTAGCTGAATGCTCCAATCCTGACCTGGAGGCCCCACAGAATGGACGGGAGACCTTAAGAGGAAAAAGCAGCCATTCAGTTGGTCTGATCCTCTGCCAGTTTAGCTGATGTGCTAACAGAGGTCGTCACAACCTAAAGATCAATTGATCTTAAATTTATTGTTTAGAAATACTGTGAAGCAAAAGATTAAGGGTATCACTTCCATCCCTGCAATTGTTCAAGGCCAGGTTGGATGGGGGTTGGAACAACCTGATCTAGTGGAAGGTGTTCCTGCCCCATGGCAGGGGGATGGAACAAGATGGGCTTTAAGGTCCCTTTGAACTCAAACCAGTCTGTGATTCCATGATTCTATAATTCTATGTAATTGCTAAACCCAAAAGCTTTTCCTTGAGACAAAACAGGGAAAGATTATGAAGACTCTCTCCTCTCCTGAGTCACTGAGACAAGAAAAGGCAGAAGCAACAGCACCGAGTGCGTGTGTTGGTGGCACTGAAGTCCGTAGTTTCTCCAAGGTGGGATTCATTTGCCCTTTGGAAGTGACTTTGTGTGTTTGAGTTCAGCTAAATAAAGTTTTCTTAGACGACTTTCTAAGCCCTTTTTTTTTTTACTTTCAAATCTTGCCAGATCTTATTTACTGGATAGAGATCACAATTCTTAAAAACGTAGTGCAAATCTTTTTATTTCAAGGAATGGGAGATTTTCACCATTTTAAGTAGGGGGAAAAAAAAGGTGCTTTCATAAAACTGCATTTCCCATAGTGCACAAGGGCTCTCAGGGCCGGGTCAGCTGATCGAGAGGGTGAAATGTGCCTTATTTCCTGTCCAGTGCATGGAAATGACTCGTGTGTGCCAATGGCTCATCTTTCCTTCGTCAGGTGATTGAAGGGCCGTGGACCAGGTTCTGCTTTCAACAATGGCAAGAAGCTGAGCTGATTAACCTGCTCGATATTGGGAAAACTGCTTCGCGTGTGGGAAGATGATGTCATGAAATAACACGGCTGCAGGCAGCTCTGTTAACTTAATGGGAACAGGTAGAGGGAATCTTGGTCTTTACATTTTGTACTAGACCTTTCTATTTTTTTTCCCAAGTCACCAATTTTGCTGTACACTATTGAAGTTACTAGATTTCTTAATTAATTGAAGGTTATTTTCTAGCAGCTAAGAAGTAGTCCTAAGTAATCATAATTTTCAAAGCTTTTTTTTAATTCTTTTTGCCCTTTTTGTTTTGTTTTGTTTTTTTAACAGAGGTTAAGAGGAAACTTTTAAAAGAAAAAAAAGTTTTTCCAGACTGAAGCTGAGGACTTGGCGAGAAAACACAAAATGTCTTCTGAAGGAAAAAAACTTTTCAACATCATTATTTTGGGAGTCTCGTTTATGTTTATATTCACTGCTTTCCAGACATGTGGAAATATTGCGGTAGGTGTGAATTTCTAAATGTGCCATGTTTCTTACAGTTATGTATCTTGTCTTGTCTTTTGTCTACTGTAATGTTGTTTTATTTGTGATTTTCTAACGTGCAAGATACTTTGGCATTTTGTCTTCCTTTGGTTTAGTATTAAGTAGATTAACTTGGTTAACCAAATAATTAAGCAGCTTTTTTCTTTAAGATAGCATAGCTACACATATAACTGTGCCAGAGTGCTTGGAAAACAGAAAATTAATCTTATCAAATGTTTGAACTTTAAAATAGTGTCTGCTTTGACACTTGCAATATTGAACAGTTGAATTACATTGAATCTTCCGTAGTCTATATTCCATATTCTGTATAGTCCCTTTCAAGATATTTGCCCAAGTTATTATTAACCACACAATTATCAACTGTTTTTTCCTAATTTAACATATTTTTCTGTTCTGACAAATTTGATATTGAGGGGGAGTATGGGGATAACACCTGACAAATAGTCAGACTTGCACAATTGCTAAACTGCCGAGTCACCTTCCAGCTCAAGAAGTTATTTACTGCTTTAGTATCGTGTATCTTTGTCTGCAGAAGCAAAATTGAGCGTAACATAATCCAAATTTACTGTTACTACTTACATTTTTAGACTCCTGCTACTAAGAGACATAGCCCTTTAACTTCCTGAGTGTTGACATAGCTTTCAGTTCTGTGCCTGAAGGCAGATAGATTTCAACATCCTTCTTGAGCCTGCAGGTCTTACAGCTCTTTTCTTGAGTGGAAGAAGAATCCTTTCTGGGTTCAGACACATAAATGTCCTTCACTACAATATAAATAACTACTTGGGATAGTTTGGGTAAGTCATAGTGCAGTGTGGTGCTGTATGTGAGCACATAAGTACAGCCCAGTGATCTTAGAAGTTCTGTGATGAATTCAACACCTCACTGAATTGGACTTTGTGATCATGCAATCATGTAGCTTATTGTCCTAAAAGTCTTTAGAAGTTACTCTCAACCAGATCTGCCTGCCAGTCCAGCTAATTACGTGGTCTCATGATCACTAAAGCTGATTCAAGGGGAAAAAAAAGGAACAGAGAAATAACGTGAAGCCAGAAAGAATGGAAACTCTGACTAGAATTCATAGTTAGGTCAAGTTAAGAGTATTTTGAAACTTCTCCTTTTCCCCTCCACTTATTTAAATTAAGATAGTCATACATACCTGCCTAAGAGAGGTCTTTAGTAAAACAACAGTTTTGTGAAGTATTTTAAGGTCTCTGGTGAAATAATGATTTAATAGTAAAGTACTAATTACTGCTTCACACATAGATGTTTCCCTGCCAAATATCTCCTGCATCTTTGTTGTGGAGGTGGTGTGAGTTGTAGTTAACATTTTAAATTATTTTAAGTACTTTTTAGAGTCTGTTAATGGTTAAGTCTGACATTTGTTACTGACTTCAAACTGATGCAAGTGTTCTCAAACTACAAGACAGATTCTGACATATTACAGTGTATGGTTTTCTCCTCACAGCAAACTGTTATCACAAATTTAAACAACACGGACTTCCATGGCAGTGGCTACACAAGGTAATTTACACAGATTGTAAATTATTACTTATTACTTTGCTCCTTGCAGGGTGAAGCTGGTTACAGTTTCATCCAGTAGAGAGACACTCTCGAGAGATTGGAGTGTTCTGCTGACTTCACAATTTATTGACATACTTAAAGCACTTTAAATAAAACAGGCTTCTCACAACCCCACTCTGAATTATTTCTAGCTGAACTACATATCTGGTTTGCATGTTTTCTTTGTAGAGAGAAAAACCACCATCATCTCATTCTCAGCATTTTGTCTTAGGAGACGAAGAAGCTGGAAGTTTAAAAATAGAAAAACCTGCTAACTCAGGCCTTGGTTGTTTGCCCTTGTACACCTCTGTGTGTTTGTGTAGAGCAGGTTGTGTGGATCAGCTCCCAGGAAACACTGCAATGTAAATGTGGAAGGAGCAGTCAGAGAGACAGAAGCAAAGCCACAAAAAGCCATTCTCTTTGTTGCACTGGCACAGCCAAACTTGCCAAGCATGATCAGGAGCCTCTTGTATGCCAAATTAATTCTGTCATGTAGAAAAACCTGACTGCTGCTTTGAAGGGTTTGCTGTCTTAGTTTAAACTGAAAATACAGCTGGCTCAAAATATAGCTGTAGAATTTCTGTGGTGTATTTGGCAGAAAATGAAAACCTCACTCCTGGACAAATGAGGCTCTGGAACATTCTCCTCTAGAAGTACAGGGTACAAAATACAGTAACTGTTGTTAAGGCAGTTTGACAAATGCATGTTTTAAATTACCAGACATGCTTGCCTGCAATAGTTTGGGACTCTACTCAGCAATCCAGGAAACACTGTGCACTCCTGTATTCCCATATGGAG